AAGATGCTATTATACTCCCCTGCTGCTAGTGGTTGTTCAGGCCAAGACTCGTCGTATGAATGCTGGGTCTCACCATCAGTCGTCTTCCTCTGCGGATTTCCTTCTATTCTGCTGCATTTACTAATTTACTACCCTGCACTCACTAATAGCAAACAAAGTCACTCACTGCATGTAAAAAGATGTATAGAAAAGCATCGCTTCGTCAGCTGAGAAACTTCAGTCTAGTTTCCATTCTACGTAACCGTATGAAAAGATAGTGCTGTAAAGGACAACCTGACCAAACTGAAAACTACTTAGAAATGAAGGTGTTTTAGAAAATTTATGTGAGAAATAAAAGGGCATTTGGAGAAGCTTGTGTCCTAAAATGAAAGGTAATTGAAAGATTTGGATTTGCAAAAGAAAATGTTGATAAAACAAGCAAACATGCTAAGAAAACAGCTGAAACATGAAGCATGAAGATTTGAAATGTCACATCTTCTCTTCATTCTTTGAATCAGATGTACTGTAAATACTGATAACATGTACCGCCGCCCCAGGCCACAGGACAGAAAAATGTGTGGAGGATGTAACCCAATGAAAAATCACCCCAAAGCGGGTGTTAAAAATAAGCATAGACCTCAAGGAAAAGTACACTGAGAAGGTCAAGGCTTGAAGAAAAGTGAGGATTACAAAAAGATAAGTTTGCCTTCATTTTAGTACCTTTTCACTAAATGGTACTAAATGGTACTAGATCTAAGGGTTCTTCAAGCACATAAATAGGAAAAGAACAAGGGAGAGTGAATAATACGTGGTAAAGGCAGAATGTAATTAACTTGTAGTTTGAAAACTAAAGGAATATTTCACCTCAGTTCTTGGCAATCATCCAAATATCTCTGAATTCTGAAGGACGTGGAGTATAAAAATCACAAAATCCATTTTTTTTCTCCCTTTTTCCCCTTTTTTTTGTTTTTGGCTGAAAATCTCTCAAGTTAGACTAATACCCCATGACGAAGAAAAAAAAAAACCAAATGGAAGTATCTGTATTTACGTATGGTGAAAAAAATTATATTGTCTATTGCTGAGACAGTTGATTTTACGGGTAATGGATTTTTTTCTACTTCATTTCCCAATGGAATGTATTACATACGAGTTTTACTATTTTTAGGACAATGAATTTTGATGAGGAGAATAAACTGCTAAAAGGAAAAACCTTGCACTTTTATAAGCAGAAAAAATTAACAAAGCTATGGCACATAGTATATTTCAGCAGATGTAGACTCTTGCTGCCAAATACTCATGATGACCTGTGATTCTCTGAGCAGCACCAATAGCACTTACCTAATAAATCCTTTTAAGATGTCTATTAATTGTAGTGCCTCACATTTGCATAGCACTCTCTTGCCTTCAATTTTATACCTATCCAGCTTGTCTTGTCAGAATATTCTTTTACTCAGTCTATTTTGTCATGAAAACACAGTATTTTCACATACTTAGTAATAAAAATAAACTTAACAATGGACTTTGTTCATCAGCAAATAAAATGGGAAAACTATCACTGCAAAAAGAAGCTATAATATATATATCAATATATAATACACACACACACACTCTCTCTGTTTGTGTGGGGGAAAAAAACGAGATGGTGTATTAAGCTCTTTTGAAGAAATATTTTCCATGTAATAAATTAGGAGAGCATTAAAAGCTGACCACCATCTTTTAAAATAACATACTACAAAGACTTTGTATAGACTTTTTAAAAAATAGGCAAAGGAGCCTAGCAGAGCACTGCTAATGACTTTATCATTATTTTTTTTTCATTAGCTGTCAGACTACTGAGGAAACTGAGACAGAAGGACTGAAAGAAAGCAGGTACTGTGCCAGTCCTGCTAAAAGCGAAATGAGACAACCTGGATAATTAAGAGCCTGTAAGCCTGGCATCAATCCTAGCAAAATAATGGAACTGTTCCTACAAGACCCAATTAATGAAGTATTAATGAAGAATTAATGCCACTCAACTTTTTTTTTTTTTTTTGGAAAGCAGGACTTGCCAACCTATCCTGGCACCTTTAAGAAGATCACAGGAACCAGGTGCCTTTCTGTACTGCCTGCTTCTATGGAATAGTTTGGGTGGCAATGAAGTTTCCAGAAATTCAGCTTGTCTTAGAGATGAGATTATGCATCAGCACGACATGAAATACCTGCCCGCCAGTTTTACTGGGCATGTGGTGTTTAATTGTGGTTGGTTTTTTCCAAGAACTATCTCTCTCTCATTCATGGCATGCAAACGACAAGCTACTATTAAACACAATTATTCAAACTTAATAGCAAAGGGAAGCTGCTTGAAGAAATGCTCCTAAATCTCATTTATAAGATGGGATTGTTACGGCCCTGCTGGACTGAAAAAGGCTGAGTTAGAGATACATTTCCTACACGTTGAGATGATCTACTTTCTAAATCATTATCATAAGAAGTTCTGCTGCTTTGCAAAGTCTATGATGCAAATTCTTCCAACTTGCACAAGTTTGTGATGTTCCTCCACTGACATCCTTTCAACAGTCCCTGTAGACTTAATTTATTTTCTAATCAACCTCATTTCTGCCTTCTGGATGCAGGACCAAATGCCAGATTGTGCATGACAATCCACAAAACAAACACCTGAATGAACAAGTTCATAGGTATTATAGAAAATGTTCCTATTTTGTGTCTATATAATTATATTTGCTTCTCCTTTGCAGTGGAAAATGGAATATTTAAAGGCTTTAGTCCAGCATTAACATAATTATTCACAATGTATGTATAGAAAAACAGCCTCAAAGACTGATACAACAGGCATAAACTAAAGTTCTGCTCTTTTGCCAAACACATGGCATAAGTTTTCATACTTTCACAAAGTCTGTAAGATGTTTCACTTGATATTCTTTTAATACCTCCAGCTACAGTAATATTTTTGCAATCCTTGCAACATTTTTTTCTTAATTTTGATTTTCCTTAGAATGATCAAAGAATAACTTTTTTTGCTTGAAAACATTCTTGTCATACTAAAACAGTCTTGTCATATACTATATTTTCTTACTATAGTATTTCGTGAAAAATATCTTTAAGGAGTCGTGACAAATAGATTTGATTACCTTCTTTTTTCAAAACGATTTCATTTATTTAAAAATGACACAAAGCTCCTTTTGCATTTTAGCCCTTCACTTAATGCCTCTCCCCAGTATTTTCTTCCTATTTGGACACAAATGCCCAGTGCAGATTTAATGCACTGTTGCAATCCTTGCCTTGAGAGGTGTTTGTGATGACCTGCTTTACCTAGGCCTACATCTTTCTAAAGAAGAGACAAGCTTTTATTGAAGGATATTCTCAGGATTTCATTTGCAGCTCTGCAGTAGCTCACGTTTCATTCTTTGCAGCCAAATTATTATCCATCTTCCATAATGTTGCTGACTGATGAAATCACATGAGAACTCCAATTCATTATTCTCTTTTTAAACTCTTTTTTAAGTTTTTAATAGCTGCTAGGTTTGCCACTGCTCGTATGTTTGTCACTTCCAAGTTTAGAATGAAACTACTCCAAACCTTTAAATTCCGCTTTAAGACATTTGAAGAGCTACACAATTATTATCTCTCTATGTTAAAGCTCAAATCTATTTCCTCCAAATATTAGACTATTTTGTCCCTTTTTGTGTCTCAAAAGGCAAGAGGAAGATGAAGTAAAACATTTTCACAGTGTTCAGTTATCCAGAATGGTGTCCCTGATGTCTCATGCACTTTTTCTTTCATTAAGTTTTCATATCATAAAAGCTACCTTTTTGCCTCCTGTTTTGCTTGTTCCTCAAATTTTATTCCAGTTCCCCACAACTTCCTTTGTAGCCGAGAAAATCAAAATAATCATCAAGTCTCTTAACTATCTCCAGTTTCTTGCTACTCTGGAGCTATTATCCTGTTTTTTGCCTTCTATTCCATTCTAACTTTTATTCTACCCTGTTTATATAACACAAGTACCAAAAAAACCCCCCAATAACATATACGTATATACATACATATATACATATATATATACACACGCACCCATGAAGTTTATAAGGACATACACAAGTATTGCCATGAAGAAGTAATGTTCATGAATGAATGATCCTATGCATAAACTATAACATGATGCCTGTGCAGCCCCAGGAAGTTCTTAATCGATACCTCAGAAATTCCAAACATAACAGCAGTTAATTTAAAACTTTTAGAGAATGTTAATTATATTCTTGGAGCTCATTTATAATGAGCTTTTAATTACAGAGGATGTCCTCATATCTTAACTCTTAAATGCAGAGAAAATATGAGATGTTAGATAATGCTTAAACTAACATACTGAGATAATTCTTAAAATAACACACTTCAATTTATGTATTTTTTTCTTTTGTAATACCAGAACTGTAATGACTTGCTTGCTTTTATGTCAATCTTGCTTTACTTACTTATGGCGGTACCAATGTACAATAAAGGAATATCCTGTTTATTTTGTCATCATTAACGACAGCAAAGGCTTTTGCTGCGCTCATATGTGTCTCCTCTAAAATGCAGTAGAGGGAATGGACGAAATGTGATTGCCACAAACAATTTTTCAATACAGTCCATCCTTTTAATACGGTTTGGGAGATCACTGACCAGTTTTTCTTCCACTGTTTAATTGCTTAATGAGCAATGCTCCTCTGCTGTAAGAAAACAAGCTGCAGCCTAGTGCTTCACACAACATCTGCCTGCGTTTGTCTGTAAGGGCTTTAGCTTTGCTCCACAGCACAGTCCCTCACAAAAAAAAAGGCTGTTTGCTTGGAAAGCATCCAGTAAAACCTGGTCAATAAACCCATCTTTATTTTTTTATTCAGCAGCTCAGCTTTATTTAATTCTCCAATTTCTAGTGTTGCACAAAAGCATTGCTGGTTAATGCACTACAATCCAGGCTGCCATTTAGCTTATCCACGTACATTGCATTTATCACTGTTAGGAACTCAAAAAGAACTTGATCCAATTACCTGGTTTGATTTCATTCGATTTACACTGAACTTCTTCGACACAGTCTGCAGGAAACCATCCTATATGTCCGCGGGTACTGCCTTCCCAGAAGCCACCTTCACCGATGCTTAAAACTAAATACAGAAAGACATAGGCAGCATTAGGGTTTCTTCTCTTCCCATGTAAATACTGAGATTATTTACACACTAGGTTAAACTAACATGTTGGTCCCAAATTCTAGTTTCCCAAATATGGGCACAGAACAACCTATAAATGTGACTCTTCCCAATTAGTCCTAATCAGAATTCTCTTCCAAAAATCTTGGTCAAAAGTTTCCTTAGCCATTACATCTTCCTTTCTATTTTCAGTGGTCTTACTTCTGCTTTTATCAAGGATAAACGCACGGTCATATTAAGACCAAAAATTTGTCTTGACCATTCGATTCAAGTTGTACTGCTGAGCTCACATAAAACCAAGCCCCCTTTGAAACCATTTTAAATATATATATATATACACACACATATATATACATTCAAGATTGTAACATATATATGTGTGTATATATATATACAAACACACACACACGTATATGTAGAAAACAATCTTGAATGCTTTGTACTTCCTAAGGAAACACACTATTTTATTTACTGGCTATCTCCAGAGATGTGAAATGTAGGTCAAGTAATATGAATTTAATGGTGTGAGCACACAGCAAACACTTGAATGTCCCAATAGGTGTGTTACACAATGTAGATGCCTTCTGAAATATTTCAGTGATTTTTCACAGTAGAAGATAAAATGGCGAGCAAAAAGACATACCAAGAGGAAAAAAAGTGCATATTGCAGTTCTCATTATCTTGATATTAATCTCATTACGTAACAGAGATTATGAAAAGTATTTGAAGAATAACAATGTGTAATTTTACTGTTAAGCAACCGGAGATTAATTCTATAATGAAAGCTTTCCAAATATCTTCTAAGTAATATGCTTAAGTAAATTTTATAGAAGATTCTACAAATCACAATGTGTTCAATATATTTTAAAGAAAATAAATGTACTCCTGCACAGGCTATATAAAATATAGTTATCATTTTAAGAACATAGCTATCATTTTAAAACAGGTTGATGGGGAATGCAGTTCAACCGTACATGGATCCTCAAAGGGTATCTGTATAAAACACAGCGTTCAGTGCAGGGTCCCTCATTACACCAGAGGGTGCTGGAGCAGCACAGCCCCAGTCAGCTCTGCTCTAGCTGTGCCAAGCCAAGGGGCCCTGCTGAAAATCAAGGCTAATTAGGCCAGGCACATCTCCCTGCTAACGTATGCATCTGGCTTTCCAGGCCTGGGATAATCTCTCTGCAGGGTATTGCAATATGTAGGCATAATCACTGGCTCAGAGCTACCTTGGTGAGCTCCAAAGCAAGCGCTCTTTGCACTCTTAAAACACACCTTAGCAGGCTTTAAAATCACAGCCCCAGAGCCTGCCTGTGCTCGAATGGTGTAGCTGTGGTACAGCTGTGCCTCAGTGGCTTTGAGTTTGAACCTTATTTGCACTATGGTAGAGCAAGAGAAATACGAAATACGTGGTAGGCCAAATAATACCCCCTGCTAATGCAGGAGTTGTAAGAAATCTGACTTGACTCAGAGGGATCTATAAAACTGCATTTGTAATTCAATGTTTGCCTACTTTGTCAACAACGCCACGCTATTTGTAATATTCTTTACTAAGCTTGTAACACTATTGCCTTTACCTATGGTATTACTATTACATACTAATGGATGTTGTTTTTAAAAGAATTGTATTTATATGTATATATTTATTTAAAGTCCTTTATTATAGTAAATTTACCTGTGCAGATTCTCTGAATTGCATGTTGGTAAGTCACTTTCAGTAGGAAGCACATGTTAAGCCTTGGCACAAAAATCCATTATGGCAGGATCCTACACCCAGATGGGTCTCAGAATGCCCTGTTTATGTATATGTGAACAAACTCATACCTGCCGAGGTGGTTACAGTATAATGGTGGAGGGCACTTAGCTGTCACTGTTAAGTGACAGCTAAGCTGTGTAAAATTTTCTTGGCATGTCATTTCTTTTAGTCACCCTATACCTATTGATACTATTTAGCTGAGCAGAATTGTGGCTGTACTTCCAAATGAGAGCAAATATATGTATATATAAATTTGGAGCATAATTAGTGGAAAACGTGTCGATAAACTCCATTTTTTCTTGCAAATATTAAAGCTTGTGCACAGTCAATCTGACTACTTAATGCTACATAAAATACAAGGCAATCACCAGCACCCAGGATATACTTAAGAATGCACCCTCCATTCGCATAACAATAGAATGCAACTTAGTTATTAACATATACAGATACTACAGCTATTGTAGGATCCTTTTGTAAATTGACTTAGCTTCAAATAATAAAAGCAAGTCTGGGATCTCATTTAGCTGAAGGGAATTGTGAAACGTGAGGCAGTTGGAGAACCCCGTTGTAAGCAGCTAGCTTTGTTCAGGAGTTTTAAGTACTGAATCTCAGTCCTGATTTGGCTCCTCAGACTGGCAAGATAGGGAGAATACAGACTATTATGCAACTGAAAGCAACTTCCCTAATTTAGTATTTTATTAATCTGTCAGATCTATTATTTTGATGCCTGAATTACATAGGTATTTCACTGTCTAAAAAGCATCTGCACTGTAATAAGGTATTTGGGTTTTTCACACCCACAGAATAATTTCATGTGTTTATAGTAGCTGAAGCTGATAAAACATCCCAATCATAATAGGAAATGTGCTTTGTAAGCATATATGAGTTCAAGGTGAAAAGTAATTATTTCCCGGGAAAAACACTCCTACTTTAGTTTATTTCTACATGAATTATTAAAACATTTCCAATTAGTAATAGCTGGAGCAAAGCAGAATTACACTTACACCTGCCTGAAGACATAACGCTTACAGAAAAGAGATAGGAGGGGAAGTGAGCTATTACCAGAATGCCAAGTGTCTTCACAATTTGGGTTCAAGCCTGTGTACATATTACATGTACAAATAATCATGGAACTTTCGGACTGACTGGAAATTATGGGCATTACAGCTTCCAAGAAAGGTGGGGAAAAGGTAGAATTGCAGGAGGCAATTGGATAACGCAGAAAATAAATGTGGGAGGCCAGGAATAAGGCTGATGTACTGAGACAGAGATTAATTGTTGATGAGATGGAGAAAAAGCACATATGGCACAAAATTTAGAATGTAAAGCTTGAGAGGAAGATGTAGGTTCTGAACCAATAAGAAATTTCATAAAATCTTTTTCATGCATCTCAGGTGGTATTATTAATAAGAAACTCTGTAGCAGTAGGCCAAACCATATTACATCTACATCTTCATCCACATATCCATAAAAATGGGGCACAATTCATGTATTCCAATGTGGATAACCAGGAGCCTACAAGATAAATCAAAAATATAATTTATCTTTCCTACCCATGGATGCATTTCAGAATGAGGCCTTAATTTCTGTCTTTTCCCTCTCACAACAGTGCTTAAGAGACATGCTACAATGGATAATTTGGTACCAGCAAGAGATTTTCTAATCAACATTTTCGCTTCTGAAGGGAATAACAATGGTAAATCAAAGGATAACTTTCCCAAAATTAATAATTAGGCTTTATCATTTGAAGTATTTTTTTTTCCTTTTGCTTTTATTAAAAAGAAAAGATGTGGTTGCTATGGCAAGAGCAGGCCAGAGTCTCTTTACACACAATATGAATTACAATAAGGAATTTGATGTTATAAGAGTAAAAATAAGGCTCTAATAACATCCTGAAGCCTGATATGTCTTTTCACAACATAAGTATAGCTTAAAACAAAAATTATGTTTAATTATATGAACAAAACTGAAAATCAAAATTGGACAATTACCAAACATTTGAATAACATGAAAATATGTATAAGCAGACAGCTAGCAGGACCTTATTTCCTCAATGTCTTAAAAGTATTATATTTAATACCAGCCAGACTCTGCTTTGCCAGAAATTCCCCTCAAAAATTGTGTAGTGCCAATTTAGTCCACGATGTTTTGTCCCTTGAAACTCTTGTAACTTCTGTTTTTTTCTGCAGTGTATATAATTAACTTAACATATTTATCTAAAAATGCTTAATTACTCAATATATTTTCAAAAATTTATGTGAATCAAAACAAAACAAAAAAGCAGTTTTATTCATCCCCATTACAACTCCCTTCATTATACAATAATCAAGAAACAGGGTATAAGAATGTATTTCCTTCAGCTGATGAAGCTGACATTATTTCTAAATTTCTTGTAATAGTTTTGCATTATCAGCTGAAATTTCAATCGGTATTTTTTCCAGGTGCCTTCATTTGCAAAAATTTCACCAAAAAAGTCCTCTGAGAAAGGGGAAAAGAAGCAGCTACCCAAATTGTGAGATATCATCATCTTAAAAAAATAACACACCTACAAATTAGAGGAAAAGAAGAAAATATAATACTAATAAAATTGAAAATATGTTCAAAAATCAAGCAACTGAACTAGCCTACCTGAGGTAAAAACTGTCAAAACTAAAAGGAAAAGTTATATCTGTTAATCAGAAAAGCTGATTTCAATACTTCTCAGGAGAGGTGGGGTTATGTAAACTGAAAGCCCTGTAAAACTCACAGCATAAAGTAGAAAATCTCAGAATTCAATTCTTTAGTTGAAAGGGAGTGCGATACAGTATCTCTTCCATCAGAACTGCAATCACAATATGTTACTGTTCTGTTATTGATAACAAATGTCATTTCCCTAATGACATAAAAAAAGTTTTCATTTGTATTTGAGCTGTCAGGTTTCAGTGCAAATACAAACCAGTTCTGTCACAATCTATCTTCTGGCATTCCCTTTTCTAATATGCTAAACCATATTTTAAATTTTCCAAAGGACAAAGACCTGATCTCTCTGCCTCAGGACTTTCTAATATTATAAATTAAACTTTTTTTCTCGTAAAAAAATCTGCTTTCTAATGCAAATTTCAAAATTAGTAGGCCTTTGGAGACCTTCATCCATTGAAAGACAGCTTTACAAGGACTAATAATCCATATAAAAGCATCTACTTCAATGAGGAAAACAATTTTG